TATATATATATATATATATATATATAAAACTCTCACAGACCGCCAGACGTGGCAGACTACACTAACCAGTATAACATAAATATCAACTGAACACGTCTAAAGAAAGCCCGTGTTTTCCCTATATTTAGCATAATTACTCGTTTGGAATCTTATTGTCAACACCAGAATCATCGATTGTCCGACTAGAGAATTGAAGTTCTTGCTTAAGTGATTTACCCCCACATTGCATAAACAGTCTTATAACTCTCTTAATATGAAAAAAGGGGTTTCGCGCCGGAATCGGTCCGTTATCCACGACATTCTTCCCAGAACAACTCATGACATCTATCTCTGCTTGGAAAATATTCTTAGCACTGTCTCTTACCTAAATTGTCTAATTATGTTCTCTCTACAGGTACTACAACCTCGACTTCACTACCACCCAGCCTCGTTAACAAAGTAACCATAACAGTAAATCAGCCACGGGGCGCCCAGCTTGAAGCGCTTACGGGCGGACAAAGCTGGGTCTAAATGTCAAAATTACATGGAATTGGGCACCCAAAAAGGATTTTAAAATTCTTCTTACCATTTTCCGGCACCTGCCTTGGCAAAAACAGCCCAAGCTACATTTGATATCCTGACTGGATCCATAGCATCATAATTTAGGCCCAGCAAAAGAAGTAAGGCACTTACAGCCAGGTTTTTTGTTTCAAATAATGCTCGTTATCCTGCCCTCTCACCCAACTCTTAGCAGGGGTGATCCCACCATGTGGAGATCACAGGGCGGAAAAAAGATTAAACTGAGGCTGAAGATCCACTGCTGGTGTCAACACCCGGCATCAACTGATATCCTCCCCCCTGTTGCCGAGGCCTGTTGTTCTGGCAGCGCGAAATTGTCTTAGTGAAGGCAATCCTAAGCATTTCTGGACTGTCCTTCTAAAGACATTCTCTCACTGTTGACTGTTCTCATTCTCTCTTCTTACTCCTACTTCTAGCCTATTCTCTCTCTTCACCAGACTCTCTCCCTAAATCTTCCTCCCCTCTCACCAGGCACAGAATGCCTGGTAAGAGGAAGACTCGTAAGAATCGGTCCCCGCCCTCCTCCCCTTCTTCACAACCCCCTGTGCCTACACCCCCTCGGCCGAAACGTCATCTTCCCATGCCAACTCCAAACCTGCATCCTTAGCCTCCGAATCCATCCGCTCCCTCAAAAGTGCTCCTACAGTAATCCGAACGCAGCTCTCCGTCTCTCCCCTTCCCACTCGCACACTTAGGTGTGTGAGTGGGAATTTGTAGGCGTGGACGGCCAACCGTCCACGCCTACAAATTCCTCTCTGCACAGTAGCAATTCACCAGTCCCCCAACGCA